TCTCAGTAGTACACAGTATTTCAATGCAGCATTTTCATATTGTGTTTTTTGTGTGTATATGCAGCTTCCAGGTCAGAGTTCATGCTAACTGAGATTGTGGATTGAGGGGATTCCTGCATTATTGAGGATGCTCTGTTTTTTCCATCATACTCATCCTGCTGATATTTTCTGTGATATATTGACGTTTACCTTAAGGTCTATTTCTGGATTCAACCAAAAGGAGTCAAAATGGACACCCACTGCTCAAGGCATGTATGCTCACCTGGTATGTGCATAACTATTCGGCTATTAGATTAGATTAGACAACTATATTCATCCCACAATGGGGAAATTTACTTATTACAGCAGCAGAAAGAAAGTGTAGTATACACTACAGAATTTAAGTAGAAAGGGCAAAAACACAAAAAACAGAAATATTTATAACCTACACAATTAACAAGAAAACAATCAACCTGCAAACAGACAATGTGCAAAAACAAGTACTGAGGATAAAAAAGTGGCATGATATAAAAAGTATTGTAATGTAAAGTGACCATAATATAAGTACTATTGAAAAAGTAAGTGACCATGATATAAATAATATTGCAAAAGTAAGTGACCATGACATAAATAATACTGCAAGGCATAAATGAAATAAAATGAAATAAAAATATTGCAATGTAAAGTGACCATGATATAAATACTATGGTAAGTAGGTGACCCCACATTGGCTATGTAGCAAGAGAAAACATTTCGCTCCTATAATCATACCCCTGTCTCCAGAGATGGGCAAAAATACATCCAAATATATTTTTAAATAAAATACCCAATTCCCTATAATGGAAAGTGTATCAAAATACACTACAAAATACAGCAGCCACACCATGTACCAAAATAAACTACTGTATTTTTGTATTTTAAAGCTACTAACAAAATTATGTTCCAAGGGAGCAGGAAATCATATTGCAATTCATTGTTTGACTCAGTTGTTTAATTGGACCAATTTTGAGAGCAACAGTTAATGAGGCATATGACACATAAATCTGACTTGCAACCAGTCAACAGATAGTTCAAGTCTGACCTAAAGTCAATACTGACGACAATGACCTACTTTCATTTGTAGACAACTGACAGCACCTTTCTCCAGAGCAACTGGTTTCTAAGTAATTGGTCAATCAATCATTCCTGTGTCCACACAGTCTTGTTCAATAGCACCGAGTTATCTCGGAACAATTCTCACAACAGCCCCCTAAGTTACACACTTAAAGAAGTTGCTACAACAAACACCAGAGGTGGATGGGATAAGAACCTGTTGTTTCATGGCTTTGCAGCACAACATTGTTAATGACAATAGGTGTGTGTTTACTAAGCTAAACCAGCTTGTGTCATTATAAAGTCATGTACAACAACTCGTTTTTTGGTTTTTCAGGTGCACAACGGATGAAAATGTATAGGCTGAAAGTAACAGTGTTGTTTGCCATTTTACTCGGATTAAATAGAGGCTGCATGCATTGATTTCCATTTTTATGATGTCATCATGTAGATGTCTCATAGTAAGTATTTTAAAGTGTTTTCAAACAGCAAAAATAGAAAACACTCCAGTATTTTGATACAAAATATGAATCCATTTCTTTTTCATATTCATCAAAAACTGCTTTCAAATACGTATTTTAAATACATGTATCATAAATACATGTATCATAAATACTGCCCATCCCTGCCTGTCTCTTCGATTCAGTTGCAGTTCTTACCACCAAAAGTAAATGGTTTCTTCAAGAAACATGTGTAGGTTCTGCAGGAGACTGAAGTGCAAATAGAACAAACCTGCAGCAGCACAAGTGTGCACTTAAATACAAATTAAATACAAGCATGCTCTTTCCGCTGCAGGAGTAGTGAATTTCTTTCACTTAATCAGTAACAATATTCTTAGATCGCTTGCTGATAACACTTAACAAAAGTATATTTCAGCTTCTCACCCAACAGTTCACAATAGTTGGTCATGGTCTCGAAACCTTATACCTGCGTCTCCTAGCTCCACCAGCTAAAGAGTTTTGGAACTTGCATTTCTATTTGTCACAATTGGCACAGGCCCCAATAGTTTTTAGAATTGCTGTTTATGTAAAAAAAATACACCGTATACCGAGATCTCTTGCACTGATTGGTCTAAAACCTTTGGCCCAGATTCGGCCCAGACTGTCACACTGCTACACTGTCATGCAGCCCATACACTGCGTAGAATGATGGCACTTGCGTTGTCTGCTTCGCCACATCTCAACCTTAGTAAGCCATAGTAATACCACATGTCAACCAAAGGGGCCAAAGGGCTCTGTTCTTGGCCCAGTGCTTTTCTCTCTATATTTATTTCACCCCTTGGCCCTTTGACATGGAATTATTTTGCACTGTGCTCCCTGTAAATTTATGCTCCTAAATTCAGATAAAATAAGACAATGCCGAACAATGGCCCGATGACATTTGACAATGCTAAAAATCTTTTCTGTCTGGGGCAGATGCTGAAATTCACTGCTGTGTCATCCACACTGGATAAGTGTGATGTTTTGTTTTCTGGAACCTGCTTGTACTAAATGTCTTCTGCTAGAATTTAACTGAATCGAGAAAGTTTGACCAAATTTCATCTAGGTCAGATCAGATTTTTAGGTGCTTTTGACATAAAAAATCTAAAAGGCATGTCCCTTCAAAAACGTCAGATTTCCTTCAACTTCATGTTGCAACCTGTTCTCTTTTTCCCTCAGGACAGACGGGATACAGGAATCCTGTCTGTCTGCAGAGTTAAAAGAAGTCAGCAGGCTGCAGGGTCTTTTCATATTGGACAAGATTCCTTTGGCTCAACCTATGCTGACATCAAGCCGTCTGACTCTGGTAACATATTTAAATCCAAACACTAAATGTATATTTTTGCCTTAAGGAATCCGTTAAACCTAAAACGTACAGTGGTCCTTGTAGTCCTTCCAATGAGATTACTGTAAACTTCCTGAAACCACTGCATCCCTCTAATCCTCTGTTTGTTATTCCCTCGAGCACACAAGTGTCCAGGCTGTGTGCCCATCTCTTTTTCTCTCTCTCTCTCTCTTGCTCTTTCTCTTTCTCCCCCTTCTTTCTCCCTCTCCTCCTCGCTTTTCTCTCAGGCTTTCTGCGCGGGACCATCATCCATTCTGGGACCTCTCTCCCTCCCCTTGGTGCCTCACTCCAGATGTTTTGGATCTGGGTCTTCATCCTGTGCCAGCCTCATCCTTTTCTCTCCATCTGTGCGTTTGTGTCTTTCTCCGAGACATGTGAATGTTGTTTGCGTAGTCTGTGCTCCCCCCACGTCCTTGTGTCTGCTGGTAATACCTTCATGTTGTCCTACGTCACATTCTTGATTAATGTTTATAGTTTGTAATTATGTAGTGTTGCGTACAGTAACTCAACAGTAAGGGCATTTACGTCTTTATTTGATAGGATAGATTAAGCATGAAAGGGGGAGAGAGGGGGGTGGAGCACAGCAGTCAGCAAGCCGGAATCAACTAAAATCAATTACTGTAGAGGACTGAGGCCTCAGTACATGGGGTGCCAGCTCTACCAGGTGAGCTATCAGCCCCATAATTCTACTATTCTGTTCAGAAATTTTTATTGTCATGAGAATGAGATTCTTCCTCTGTTGCTTGTTTCTTTAATTTTTTCCTGTTAAAGCTTTTTTGTTTGTCTGATTTGATAATCAAAGGCAAGTAGGTGACATAATCCTGCATAGAGCTTTAATCCCCCTGGAGGCAAATATGAGATTTCTGGGAAAGAGCTACATGAATATGAATAAAATTTATCTTGGAAATGCTGTCACCTGACAGATCGCTCTGATGGTGTTTTTAGGTCATGTAATTATAATAGACTCTGATGTGTGTGTGTGTGTGTGTGTGTGTCATGTTTGCAGAAGATACACACATTGCTATGTGAAGAGAGAGAGATGTTTTAAATTAGCCAAGATGATGATGTGGATGAGAATCTTTTTGTGAAATAAGACTCACAGGGAAACTTCAGTGGCACATTCATCTAAATCAAAATGTCACTGTGCTCTGTGGTTCAGTTTAAGACTGACAGATAGTCAATATCAGACAGGTAAATATCCCTCACTCTGATTTGGTATTTGGGCATATGACGATACCAAGCGCCAACAAAATCAGATTAATCAAAAATGAGGTAAAACTTTCAGAATCACCAGCTGTAAAGACTATGATTCAAACAGTGGGAATACAATAGATTTCATAGTTCAATTGTTTGATTGCTGCTGCAGAAATAATGAAGAGTAACTTAAATCAGAAAATAGCCCAGGTCACTGTGAGAGAGGGGGACTCACATCTTTTACTTAGAGATAAGGATAATGACAATACACCGTGCAAAATATTAATTAAAATAAATATTTGAGTATTATCAGTAGCATCTCTCCTTTTATAGTGTGGAAAATAATTATACGATTAATAGTATTGGATTGATACTAGCACATCAACATGTGCATCACATTCCCATGGGTGGGGTACAATCTTATCTTACTGTAAATACATATACTTTATCTATTGTTTAGTAATGCATCATGATTCATATGTTGATCACACACTGTATTTTTGTATCGTAATGTGCACAGTAGCTGTACAGCTGTCAGATAATTTTAGTGGAATAAACAGTATAGTTGATATTTACAGTAAATTAAAACTATAACAAGTAAAGCCTGTATGAGGACAATTATTAATAGGCTTAAGTTGAGTAAGCACCTAAAAACTGGACTCGGTGCAGTAAGTAAAGCAAATCTTCTCTCTCCTCACATGATCTGCGTCATCATGAAGGAGTACAACTCTCTCTCTCTCTCGCTCTCTCTCTCTCTCTGTTGACACATCATATCACAGAAGCAGCAGGTCTGTGTGGGCAGTAGAAAGTTGAAGGAGCGTGTGGAGCTGCCTACCGAGACACTGCTCAGCACCACGGACAGCGAATAATTGGAAGCTCGGACACATCAGGAGTTTGGTGTGGGGGGGGGATCCACATTTTTAATTTGTTCACACAGACTTGGACTTCTTCATGCCTCCTAAAGTAAGCCTGTTAACAATCTGCGAACATATCATTAGTGTAGTGAATACGCGATTTTAGGATGTTTATAGTGGAGATGCATGGAATTAAATCAAATCAAATCACCTAATACATTACAGGACATATTGATAACTCAGATACAGTAACAGAGCTTGAAGTCGAGCGGATCTGCCGCGTGCGTAAAAGCTGTGGCACAATTCCAATCGATGCCACTGAGCTGCGGATGAATTGTATGCGCTCTTATAGAGTCAGGTGGATTAAGACAATGATTTAGGGCTATTAAAAACCCAGCGACACTAAAGGTGTTCGCCATTCGTGGGTCGGCGTGTTTTCGTGCGTAATTACGGATACGACTCCCTGTGAAAACTCCTTTGTTAGAATGCAGGACGCACGGCAGCTCAACTCTCTCTTTGGCAGATGAAGCGAAGGAGGCGACAGGTATGTGAAGTCCCCATGTTCTCAGCGGTGGTCAGAGCGCACACTTTCATCCTGTGAGTCACTGTCTCTTTTACGCACACACAATTGAGACAATCTATAAATCAGATTGGAGGATGTCTCTGGTGTGATGATTGGTCACTCACCACCTCCTGATTTGTTCCAGTGTAAATCATGGAAACCAACAGGGTAGAGGTGAATACTGTTTTCTAAATCCGTGAACACAGAGAGGAACAAATCTACATCTAGACTGTGTGGGACCATTTTCCCACTTTATTTTTTGAAAACAACAATGGAGACCCACTGGACTCCCCTGTCACCAGACGTCAACTCCTCTGCTGCATCAAGCCCCTTCCTCATTTCTTACCCGCGCCTCTTTAACATCTCCTCCAACCTGTCCACCCAGAGCGTCCCCTTCCAGGGCAGCAGCACCCTGGTGACTGCGGTCATCTCCCTCACGGTCTTCATGGTGGGTCTGACCGGCAACACTCTGGCCATCTACGTGGTGTTGCGCTATGCCAAGATGAAGACGGTCACCAACATCTACATCCTGAACTTGGCTGTGGCCGACGAGCTCTACATCATCGGGCTCCCCTTCCTCACCACGCAGAATGTGCTCTCATATTGGCCCTTTGGTTCGTTCCTGTGCCGGGTGGTCATGACCGCAGACTCCATGAACCAGTTCACGTCTATTTTCTGTCTGACGGTCATGTCCATTGATCGATACCTGGCTGTGGTCCATCCGATCCGCAGCACCAAGTGGAGACATCCCCGTGTAGCCAAGGTGGTGAGCGCAGCTGTGTGGGCCGTGTCCTTTGTGGTGGTCCTACCAGTGGTCATCTTCTCTGATGTCCAGGTATAAAAACTATGTGTATCTTTCTGCGTCTTCGTGCCAGTCAAAACGCAGGGAGTTGTAGTCACTGCTGCTATTTTACTATAAATTCAGCTATTTTACTCATTCTGTGGATCAACACTGTTCACAACTGTATATTATCTGCACAGTAGCCATAAAGTATTTGCAATTAATCTATTTTTACATTGAACGTTGTTTATACTTACATGTTGCTTGAGTGCTTATATTTTGTGTTACTTGTGGTGTACTTATGTCTATATTTACACCCTGTATCAGAATTTAAAAGCCTCTAATGTTATGTCCTGTACATGTGGCAGAATTGACAAAAAAGTCAACCGCTCTCAATTTTACATTATTAAGGCTATTCAAAGAGCCACAGTGGAGGGCATTGTGTTTATATCCATTTGGTCAAAGTTGTGTTTTTGTTTTTAGGAAACAAGCTTAGATGGACTGCTATAACTGCAAATAACCAGATATTTCTCAAAAGTTGGTGGGGACCAAAAGTGGATCAAAAAGGAAAATGAATATTGGATTTACATTTTGTGCGGTGTCTGCTGGTTGTGTAAACAAGCCAAGTCTTACTAAGATGTTTGCAATATCAGCTTAATAATGAGATATTATGTTGTGTTTGTTGTGCTGCCCCAAGTGGCTAAAATTCTTATATAGCTGGTTTAAAACGTCATCTCTTTGTCCACAGGGAAAGAATGTCATTGACCTCTATAGTGTCCTGTGGTATTTAAGGTTATAAATGAAGTGTCCCATGACAAGAACAGACTGAAATGCTGAACATGCAAACTAAATAGAAGCAGTTTATAATTTCAGCAGAATCTATAAGATGTTCATGGGAAGAAAAGCATTTCAGCAGATTCTTTAAAAGAAAGCAAACACAAAAGCTTTTGAATAGAAAAATATGTGACAAGACTGTAGCTAAAGTCAAAGCTGCCATTGTCAGTGCTGGTATTGTACAGCTGAAGGACACAGGTTTATAAGGTCCTTGTTGGTTGAGCAGTTATTTAAATACTTTTAAGTCTTGAAATGTCTTGCAAAATACACTAACGATTACATAAAACCCTATAAAGCAGATAATGTCATTTGCATTCCTACACACATTCTGTGTCCCTCTGGCTTAATGAACTGCTTTAAAGATCAATGTCTACCTCTGGTACTTCAATCACTATATGACTTAGTTGACAGCGACTGACTTGTTGTTTACTGTTGGCGTTTCCTTTAATATTTAAATGTTAATCATCTTTCCAGGAAACATTCAACTCCTGCAACATGATCTGGCCCGAGCCGAAGGACGTGTGGTCGACAGCCTTCATTCTCTACACTGCCACTGTGGGCTTCTTTGGACCATTGCTCATCATTTGCCTCTGCTACCTACTTATCGTCATCAAGGTGTGATTAGAGGCTGATTAAAATAAGCTCATGTATAAATTCATACTGCAATCTGCATCCACATAATGATAATTTCCTTCATCCTCAGCTTCCTCCCTTTCATTTTCCAACATCATTAGCACTCACATTTATTCTCTTCACCAGCATCATGGTAATCCATCTATCTTTGGCGCAGGTGAAGTCCTCGGGGGCACGGGCGGGTTTTACCAAGCGGCGCCGCTCGGAGCGCAAAGTGACGCGGATGGTGGTGGTGATCGTGGTGGTGTTCGTGCTTTGCTGGCTGCCGTTCTTCATCATCAACATGGTCAACCTGGTCGTCATCATCCCAGAGTCCAGCGTCACCGCCGGCGTCTACTTTTTCGCGGTCATCCTGTCCTACGCCAACTCCTGTGCCAACCCAGTGCTCTATGGCTTCCTGTCAGATAATTTCAAACAGAGTTTCAGAAAAGTAGGTTGGAGGCCTTCTGCTCGATATTCAGACTTTATTGGAATTTGGGCAAACAGTTAAGATATGTTGCTTTATTCCTTGATTGACTGTATGTGATAAGACCTAAGTAGATATGCATATATATTGAATGTGGAGAGTTAGAGAATTAGAGAGTTAAATCATTAAATGACATCCATGCACTATACAAATACATTTTTCTATCTTCGAGTTGGATTTTCGCAGCATTGATGTGTAGGAAAAACAAAATACAGTATTTCATCTAGCAGTCAGGTCTCAGCTGAGAGCAGCTGATTTCTTTTCTAAACTCACGACTCATGTCAAAGTGTGAGAATATTTGATTTCTCTCTCGGTTGGGTCTGATCAGTTGATCAATAATACATCTGACAATGAGTGGAAGTGAGTAAACATGAGCTGTATGGCACAAACCTCATTCTGAACGTATTAATGTTGAAAGGGAGGTTTGATTCGGATCGATTTTACTTATCTTTTTCTGCAAGCATATACTTTTATTTCTATTGACATATGATATGGCCTATCCCTTGTTGGGATTGCAAGACATCCCTATCTTCATCTGGTATCATATTAAGAAAACACAAGGGAAAAAGGATAAATAAAAGATACAACATACTTTATTGTCCCCGTAGGATTAGAATTTATCTTGGACTCAGTGGTGCACAGATAAATGCCTCCAAAGTTAAAGTAAAAGCAATAATCACACAACTGCATTAAAAACAACTATCTAAGCAGAACCACAATCTGAACAAAAACACTAAATCTAAATCAACATTGCATATAATCTCAATTGCACCTAACAGAAATATTGCACATGCATTGCACATAACGCATATTACACACACCCAGTGATAAAAACATCAGGAGACTATTGCACACATCCCTCAAAGCGCATTGTTTCAAAGTTTGACTGAGGTAGGGACAAATGAGTTTGTAAGACGGGTGAGTTCACTGTTTAATGTCTCTATCGTCTGCCAGAATACAAGAGCTCATATTTTGCATGGAGGATATGTGATGGGCCGTTATCCTCTGAGTCTGCCTGAGAACAGACTACTGGTACATGGTCGTATGTACCAGACGAGCAAGCTTAGTTTTGAAAGGAAAGGAAAAGATAGATGATGATAGAAAACATCACTAAGTGGCAGGCAGTGCTTCAGCGCTGACACAGAAACCCTGATAAAATGATTTGACTGAAACACACCCACTACTAGTTTCCAGTAAATCTAACTTTTACAAGAAACAAAAGTTGTGCCTAACAAAATTAAAAGGTTGTTTTCTAGCCTGGTTGGTTTTATGAACCACTTGATCTCAAACACAGCGGCTGTTTTTATTTCCTTTAAAATTCTGATGTAGCTTGGAAACCCTTACAGATAATTGTTTCTGTGGCCCTGTAGGTGCTTTGTGTGAAGAGTATGAGGTGCAAGGCTAACGGCGTAGATGATGGCGACCCAAGTGCTCCTCGTACTGAGAAAACACACGACTGTGTCCTGCTCTCCCCTCGTAATCATGTCGATCATGATGCCCAGACCAGCCAGGTATTCTTAATGTTTGTCTGTGTGTGTGTGTGTGT